AAGAGGAATGTTAAGATGAAAATTTAATAAGTAATATTTTGAAATGGGTTAATAAATATAAAATGATGTGGTTCCTTAAACATATTTGTTTCCAAAAAGGATTTATGATTTTCTAATAAAAAGGGATAGTTTTGATGGTTGAAGGTTTTCTTTACAATGTTCAAATAAATTTTGAGAAAAAGGTACTCTACGTATGATATTTTGAAATTACAAAACATTACTTTACTATATGGTATCACCCTGCATACATGATCATTTCTATCTATAGGATGGTTATTGTTTTAGAACTATGAGATTTCTACTGGGCAATTGTGCTCACCCATTGTTGTTTCATTTTTTTTTACAGAAAGAGAATTTCGGATTGATTGGTTGAAGGATTAGGAAGTTCATGTACTTCTTGTGTGTAATCTCATTGTACTTTGATGTTTGTAATTATTTATTTGTAACTTCGTAGTGGGAGCTTGCATGCATTATTATTATTGTTGTTGTAATCATCATGAGAGAGACATGTACTATTATGTTTCTATTACTCAAGGGTAATAGATATTTGTTTTCTTTAAAAAAAAAAAAAATGGACCTAAATTTCAGGTTCTTGGTAATGTTTCCGAGTAATTAAAATTCAGGGCGTGACAGCTGGCTCTTCTTTTCTAGGGTTTTGATGAAACCCTAGCTATGTAAAAGGATTTTTTTTAAGCTTTGATTGTGAAACGGTTTGAATAAATGTATGGATGATTTAAAAGTTCATAATAATTGTTCTTTTCATCACTTCAAGTATTTTACTCTCTATGATTGTTTAATGTTTTCCATACATTAATTTTTTTTTTGTTTTTGTTCAAAGTATGAGACGAGTCATGCTATGAGAGATGGGTTGTGTTACTATCACAGTTTAGAGCAAACGACTCGTACTACTTGGGATGATTCGTGCCTGTATGTTGAGTGCAACAACCCTCTTGATCAATATTTCAAACTTGTAGTTGTAAAATATTAGATATTTCAAATCGGATTGCAATTGATGGCCGATGTTAAATCTCATTTATGTAGTTAGTGGTGAATTTTTTGCCCTAGGATTTTTCCCAAAAATCAATATCTCAAACCTTACATTTAATTGTCAATTTAATTTTTCAATTTCATTTAATTTTTGTTTGGTCATAGTATCCTTCAATATTTTTAATCAAAATTAATTTAGGAATTTAGCAGTTAAATTAGTTTAATTTCACAATTGTCTTTGTGGATCGATACTTAGATTTGCCGCAGGTTTGTCTCAGGTTGGTTGGGTTTAGAAACCAAGTGTTGCTGTCCAGAATTTTGGTTCTTCGCTCGAGCGAAGAGTTGGTCGCTCGAGCGAGCTGTTGTTTTTGGTTCTTCGCTCGAGTTGGGGTTTGGTCGCTCGAGCGAGAGATTGCGTCCAGTATGGACCTGTAGCATTGCATTCTTGGCTCGAGCGAGATTTTCTTTGCTCGAGAATTGATTATCTAGGTTAATCACCTATTGAATGCTATCGCTTTATTCATTGCTTATATTTGGTTTAGTATATTTCTACTGGGCTGTGGCTCACCCTATATGGGAACATCATTTTCAGGTTCAGGTGATAAGCTACCTCCAAGGACTTAGCTTGGAAGGGACTTGGATTTTGAAGACTATTTTCAGTTGTTTATTTTTATTTGTTAGTACATGTAAACACTCAAGCCTAGGGCTTTATTTGGATTTGAGTTAGAACTCATACTTTTGTTGTCCAAGTGTTGGCTTGGAAAGGTGTAAGCCTGTAGGGCATTTAATTTGAGGTTACATGTAATGCTTTTATTTAGTAAGACTCTGATGAATATTATAATGAAATGTTTCCTCTCTAACATTGCATGCTGATGATATATATAATTAATGGGTTTATTTTTGAGGGCGTTACATCTCAAACCTTACATTTAATTGTCAATTTAATTTTTCAATTTCATTTAATTTTTGTTTAGTCATAGTATCCTTCAATATTTTTAATCAAAATTAATTTAGGAATTTAGCAGTTAAATTAGTTTAATTTCACAATTGTCTTTGTGGATCGATACTTAGATTTGCCATTATTCTAAAAGAATTTAGTATAGTTTAGTATTTATATTTGGTTCGTGTAACGACCCATCAAATTGTTTGTTATCTTTTCACAAAAACTATATTTAGTTTATAGATTTAGGTAGGATTTTAAAATATAAGGGAAAATGTGTGTGAAATGTATTTATATTTCATTAACATTTCACTAATCTTCTTCTTCTTCTTCTTCTTCTTTTTTTATTCTTATTATTAAATTTCTATCCAAATTCATAAACTAAACACAAAGGTGTCGGTGTATTTTTCCTAAATGCAAGGAAGTGCCTGTAATGTAACAATTTCAAGAATGTATGCGATATAATTTTCAAATGTCTTGACAATTTCAGGATGTTTGTGATATAATTTCTAAAGTTTTTATTTTCTGTTCATGTGGTTCAATTGAAAATAATTATACAAATTAATAACCATTAAAACTTCATTTAATGAGAATAACATGTTATCCCATAATTTGAAACGTTTAAATCATACAACAATATACTCATTTTTCTTATTATTCTGAACAAATTACACCCTCACAACCAATTTAATAGTATTTTAAATTGTTTAAATTATAAATTTGTCTTTGCCATCATATCAGGATTTAATTCCCATAAAAAAAAAATCATATTACGATTTAACAATTAATAATTTATACAATCATCTTTAATTAGACCACAAGAATAGAAATTAAAAATATTTAGATGATTAAGAACGAAATAAAAAAAAAAATTAGTGGTAGTTTAAGGGATAAAAAGTAAAATTAAAAAAAAGGGGTAAATTACAAATACATTCTTGAAGTTCAGTTAAAATACAAATTGTCCCTTATGATTTGAAAAATTACAAATACCTCCCTATCATAATTTTTTATTTAACAGAATTAATTGAAATGTGAAATTTGTAATTGTTTACCTATATAATAATAAAATTATCTGAATTATTAATCGAAATAAAATTTTAACATGATTAAAAACTGTTAATTAACTTAATGATTTATTAATAAAAGGATCTATTTGTTATGAAATTAGAAACTTTAGGGGTATAATGTAATTTTTAAAACCACAGGAAGTAATTTATAATTTAAATAAATCTCAAGGGGTGTGTTTGTAATTTACCCTAAAAAAAGAAAAAAGAAAAGAAGCACTCTCATCCAAAAGCAGAGAGATTAATACTTAAGGGGTGCTGGAAATGGGAAGGGGAGCAGCAACCGTTGTGAGGCCCACGGGAGCTCGTCATTTTATAAGATTTATTGAGTAGATGATTCGTAAAAAAATTATGTTAATTAGATATTTTTAACCTTATAATAAGATCATATATATATATTTTTTTTTGTAAAAAAATAAACAGCTATCATAATTTTGATAATGTTTTTAAAAATAATTATAACTCAATCTTTGGGTTACGAATATTTGATTAACCTGATTTTTTTACATAGATGATAGGTTCGACAAATGTTATAATATTAACCTAATTTTTTTTACCTAGATGATATGTTCAACAAATGTCATAACATGAATGTTTCGAATAATCGATATAGGCTTGAAATAAGCCCCAACAGGCCTTCCAACAGTTACTGTTGGGACATAGAAACAACAGTAGCACTGAATCCATGGAAATGAAACTGCGAATTAACTAAGCTATTTGTAAGCTTGACTCATTGAGTGCTTGATTCGTTAAATAAATAAATGAGTTCAAATTAATTTTTTTTGACTAATTTAATAAAGGATAAATTATAAATACACTTTTGAGATTTGATTAAAATACAAATAGCCCCTGTGGTTTTGAAAATTACATTCTATCCCCTGGTGTTTTTAATTTCATAACAAATCGTCCCTTTTATTAATAAATCATCGAGTTAATTGACAGTTTTTAATGATATTAGAAATTTGTTTCAATTAATAATTTAGGTAATTTTATTGTTGTATAGAAGAGCAATTATGAATTCATTTTTTAGTTAATTCTGTTAAATAAAAAATTCTAATAAGGGAGTATTTGTAATTTTTCAAACCACAGGAGGTAATCTGTATTTTAAACAAACATCTGGGGGGTGTATTTGTAATTTACCCTTTAATAAATGAGTTGAATTTGAGATCAAATAAGCTTACCTGATAAAGTCTAAGAGCATCCTTATCAGACTATTTAAATTTTACCCTAAAATATTATTAAAAAATTCATTCCCTATTTTAGGAATCACTTTTTCATCTACTTCTCCCAACAAACTCCATATTCTTTCTCTATTCTATTAAAATAATATTTTTAATTACTTTTAAATTTAAATATTTTTTTAATAATAAAATAATAAAAACAAATGCAATAGCACAACATGCAACAACATATCAGGAAGGAGCAGAGGAAAGCAAATAGGGGTGGTCGACCGATCAAGCTAATTTTGGACATTTTCTTTCTTTAGCTCCAGGGCTCTCACAAGACATCTAGGGGTACGTTCAGGGGGACGTCCGGGAGCTTGCAACACGAAATAAAATAAGAATTTATCAGATATGAGGGAGCTACAGCGACTCCCTACAAATAGGGGATATGAGGGAGCTACAGCGACTCCCTACAAATAGGGAGTCATTATAGCAATACTTATATTTGGGGGGTTGGATAGGGGAACTGCTGGGGATGTGTTTTGACAGAAAAACTCCTTATTTTGAGTAAGGAGGTAATATAAGGGAAGAGATAGGGATGCTCTAACTCGTTTACTTTAGGAAAATTTAGTCTCACATTCCTCTCCAACTTTTAATAATGGAAGAAATCCACAATATGCTCTAACTCGTTTACTTTAGGAAAATTTAGTCTCACATTCCTCTCCAACTTTTAATAATGGAAGAAATCCACAATATATATATATATATATTTATATATATATATTTTTGTAGCTAGCCTAAGGTCCCTCAACCTCTCTCTCTCTCTCTCTCTCTTATCTTTCAGCATGGACCACTCATCACACCATCCAGTGATCCAAATATGTGGACCCATTCTTCTACTTGCAAGATCAAAAGGTGATAGCTATGAAGGTTCTGTTTTTGTTGATACTACTGGGCTTAGTAGTGTGGATGAAAATCACTCTAATGATGCTCGTGAGAATAGTCATTTGTTTAAATGAATCAATGAAGATAAATATGCATGCATGATGCAGTTTGTGTTTCTACATGTGTGTTTGTGTTTCTATTTGTCTATCCATGTATATAAATTCATTTGAAATGGATATCAAAATTTAGATCATAATTGTGCAGAGGAAGGTTGCTATGATAATGGTACTTGTTATTCTAGTTTCACTACAGGAAAAATAGATTTAGGCGGCGTTTTTTTAACGACATTTTTAAACACCACTTTTGTTAATATTTAACGATGCTTTATAAAAACGTTGCATATTTCTTTAATAAAACGACATCATTTTGGAATAGAAGGCATTTAAAAACGCCTCCAAATACGTTGTGCCTCACGCCGTTATTTTGAATCTGAGAATACTTGTTAAAGCTTTGTAAACCCTTATTTTGAATCCTCATGCTCTCTCTTGCTCACCCCCAATTGCTTCTAAACCCTTGAAAGTGATTTCGATTTAAAGCGATTTTCTTTGAGATTCATCTTTGAGATTCATACAGATTCATCAAAGTAATTTCAATTTGAAGCTCTGAAGCTCCACTCTCTCTCTCTCTCTCTCTCTCAATTCATCCTTTGTTTGATATCGATCTGAAGCTCTGAAGCTCTGGGAGATTGCAAGAGAGAAGAGGGGTTGGTTTCGATTGCAGAGGAAGTGATCTCAGGAGAGGCTGTGCTTGATTTCTCAGATTGGTTTCAAAGCAATTTCATTTTTGAGATTCATCTCAGAGCGATTTTGATTTGGAAGTTCTCTCTCTCAATTTCGAAGCTTCACCGCAAGGTATTGATTTCTCTCTCTCTCTCTCAGGATCTTCCTTTCCGTCTCTCTCGATTTGTTATTGAGATCTATTGCTTATTTGTGTTGAAACCTATAATCATTGACATACTGCTGTTGCAGCTTATAAAATATTTATATGAGCCTGTCTTGAAATTTTGTGGTTGTTGGGCTAGAATCTAGCAAACTATCTTGCTAATAGCATAACAAAATAATCTAGCAAACTGTTTTGTTGTTGTTGTGAGATTCATCACTTCCATTCCTAAATTCCAGAAAAGTGGTGTAGTTCCAAATCGAGCACTAACAGTTGGTACTCGTAAGACCTCATGGGCACTTTTCACCTCTGGCAAATTCCTAGAAACAATGTTCTATGATTTAAGCCCTATCATTAAAATCCAGTGCAAACTCTGATCATTGAATTTAATTTAAGTACTGACTATATGTTAATTGTGGAACTTAATAACACAATCTACATTTTTTTTTGTGGCAAGCCTTTCAACATATATTCTTAAGGGCAAGATCTACAGCAACAAGCATCGTCAAACCCATCTAGCTCTCTATGAAGACATCGTTTCAAAGGTTTCTTTCTCTAATCAGTCTATGCTTTCTTGTTTTCATTTCCATTTTCACAAGATTTTCCTCTTTGATCTTAGTCTTGTTGACTATTTGCTTCTTATTTAACCCCCTCTCCCCCCCCAAAAATGTATTTAGTTTTTTTTATTGATGATTGGATGACTGTTTTGATATGGTGATTTTTCTTATGACTTTGGTACTTACTAATGTGGAATTGATGAGGGTTTATTTTATGTTGTTATGTACAATTAGATACAAGTGATTGTTTGAGTTGTTTGTGGTCTGATCTTTAGTTATTTGTTTTTTAAACCTAGGCAAAGCTTGTATCATTGTCTTGTTTTCTCTGAGGATTCCAAATTCTCCCAATCTAGAAAATGAGGAACCCCTATTTTGTCCTTTGACTATGAGTTTTGCTTAACTAATTCAATCCCAATGATATGCTCAATATTAATATTAAGATTATTGAGTGTCTCCAAAAATTGGACTCGAGTGAGGACCAATATGGGCTTAAATGGAGCATGATGGTCAAAAAAGGATTGTAGCAACCCAAAATAGTTGAATGCAGCTTTGTAATGCTCGGAAGCTCTTTGCTTTGTAGGCCTTGGCATTAAGCAATTGTGTTAGCATTTACAATAGATCTTAATTGGCAATTGAGTTTTATTGATATTGTAGGTTAAAAGTTATAGTAATTCTTAGCACTTAGGAGAGCTCCCTGTCACTATATTTTTTTTCTTTTTGTGTTTCCTTTTTTTATTCTTGTAAATGGAAGAATTTGTAGTTTGTCTTGATGCCATTCTTGTGTTTTGAATCCCCGGCCTCTAAACTTAGGCAATAAATCACTTCACTTTCTACCATTTTTACTTTCCTTCATTTATTTCTTTTTAATCCTTCTTAACCAGGCGTACCCTAAGGCTATGCTTGATTAGAAAGAAAAAATGGTGGAAAGTGAAAGTGATAGAAAGTGAAGAGAGATAAGAAAAATATTTTCTTGCAAACATTTGATTGGGTTGAAAATTTTAAAAGAAAAAGATGGAGAAATTAAAATTTTCTTGTGTTTTTTTTGCCAAAAATTATGAACTTAGTTACCATGCTAATATGTGTTGTATGGAAAAATTAACTTTCTTGTAGTTTACACCATTTTCATCCTCAACAAACTTAGAAATGTCCCTTTTTGTTTTTTTTTTCTTCCTCTTTATTTTTTTTCCTTTCCCTCACTTTCCACCACTTGCATCCTAAACTAACTCAGCCTAAATTTGCCTTTCCAAATGAAATTTTTGCTCCATTACTAGCTTAGGTTTTTAATGCTTAATCTTGCATCTCCAAGAACACTCATACAAAGAATGTGAATGAGTCTACACTTCCAATCGAAGATAAGCATTTGATTGTCTTAAAGCATTAGTTTCTCAATCTTATTCTTCACTTCTTTCATGTTCAAATGTGAGACAAAAATATGATTTTGGAACTGTGAGATTATCAGAATTCAGCAAACAAAACTGGGAATTGGAGAATTGAGGATGCAATGGATTGGCATGCTAAATCATATGCTCTTTGTAACATTTTAAGTCATTGATGTTGTACATTGACATTTCATTGTTCTTATGTTTTGTCTTGTTTCTTTATATCTAATAGAGTGAATGCCACTGTTGGAGAGGAAGAAGAAAGAATGATGATGACCGGATTGCACACTGCTGCTGACATTTTGTGCATTGGGTGCGGATCCATTTTGGGATGCAAATAAGTAAGAGCACGAGGCAGAGTTCTTAAGATTATGGTTTACACGTGTTTAGTTGACTTGACTGTGGTGTTTGATTACTTTAGGTTTTTATTTTCAGGAAACTGCCTATGAAAAGAGCCAAAAGTACAAGGAAGGAAAATCTGTCCTTGAGCAGTTAGAAGATAGTTGTTTTGATGAGTCGAAGAAAGAGATATCTGCTATGAAACCAACTTGGAATAAAAACATAAATAAAATAAAAAGGAAAAATAAGTTAAGGAAACTAGGAAAGCGTATTTTGACAACACAACTTCAAATATGAAATAGTGTTTTCAAAATATAGTTTTGAAGAGTTCTACAATAAGTTAATTGAGTTTTACTGTAAATATGAAATTACATTTATGGTTTTATGATAGTTGTTAACTTCTATTGAGCTGTGAAATTACTTTCCAATTCCAATTCCAGTATAGTATTCTGGTAGCTTTAACTTTAACCTCACCAGCTCTATTTATTGGTCTAAGAGTAAGATGAGCTTTATGCTTTTCTTGATTCCATTTAGTTAATTTGTTGGCTCTCTCATTTTCCTTCATTTTCCCACAGTTCCTTTCTCATTTTCTCACCCCAGCAAATTCTGATGAACGATCTCCAGCAAGAAAAGGTTAGTTCTGTTCTTCATTTCACAGCTTTACTCGCTTGAAATCGGTTATTTTTGTGTCCTTGAAATGTCCATTGCTCTTTGCACTTGTTTGTGGTTTGTTTACTGAAATCGAAACTGCAAATTTTTGTGTTTAGCTGTTAAAATTTCAGCTTAATTTGTTCGGATCTGGTATAGATACTATTTCCGTACTCACGATACTGTAATGGCGGCTCTAATAATTCTATCTTGAAATTAGGCTTTGAATATGTAGAAAAACCGGTACGATGGAGTTGTGGAAGTGAAAATTATAGATCAAATTGAGTGAGAAAATTGGGCTTGGAAGTACCGGTAAAGCGATATTACCTTGTTTACAACTCTTTTCAAATTTTTTATTGTTTGTTTGTTTGTTTTTGGAGCTCTATTTGTTTAACATTTACTATACAGTACTTCTGCTTTTAATATTTAATGGCTCAATGCACTATTGATTGTGATACCAATATAGAATTCATATCATATCCTTGTTCTGTATAAGATTGGAGACAAGTGAAGATATAATAGATTTTATTCAGGATATAATTGTTATTCTGGTCTCAGGCTTTAAGGGTGAAAAGAGATAAATTAATACTAAGCGAAGTCTATAAATTGAATAGAATGTTTTGTGGGACGTAATAGGTACTAATATAAATTGCAGCATGAAAAGAGATAAAATAAAGTATTTTTAGAGCCTGTACGTAACACATTTGTTATAATATCTTCTAAAAAGCTCTTCCATGCCTTTGTTTTGTGGAGAAATCTACACAACTTTGATATTGTGCATTAGAGTAGATTTTTTTGCTATGCCACGTTTCATTTCAGATTGGCTTGTGTTATTCTTTGCCTGACTAGAACTGAAGGCTTCTAGGGCATTCTACATGGACTAAATTCTTAAAAGAAGCTATTATTTATCAAAATAAAAAATAAAAAATAATATGAGCGTTATCATATGAGCGTTAGGACATTATTTAGAACTTCATGTTAAATCTTTTGATTTCATTCTAGCATTCATTTGTTTTCATAGTAGTTAAGAGACTTTTATCTCCATTGAAAGGGACAATAGAAAGTAGCCTTCATTAAATACCTAACAAGTTGTATATATCCAAGTTTGTGATCTAGGAACCTGGTTTGGAAGATTGCTTTCACTCCCTCTGTAATGCCTTCAATTGTCAACAATAATAGGTATGGTTATAGAGTTGGTGGTTGGTGATAGTGCTATAATGATGGGGGAGTTGGGTGGGGATAGATGATAAGGAGAGGACTTGTGAGAAAATCTATCAACACATAAAAGAAAACCCTTACAATTTCAGATCTATGTGCTTGAAATTTGTAGTTAGAACTTTGTTTGTTATGATGGCTGCATAACATTGTTTCTAACGGCTTTTTTGATGAATTCTCTCTTTTCTTACTTTACTGTACTTGCTCTTTTTTATTATTATTGCATGCATATTGACCCATTCATGAAACATATTTATTATTTGTAACCAAATCATGACCCAATTCACAATTTGGATGTTAATAGCTGCCAACTAGTTGTGATGTATTTTTGAACTATGATGTAATTGTGCCAAGCCTTATCTTGTATTACTTCTTTATTAATAAAATTCCATTTTCTTTGTTGATGAATTTTTTTTTTCTTCTTTTGTGTGTTTGGTGATTTAAAAAAAATTCATGACTGTGTAATATACATTTGTTGATACTACCAATGTTGCTATATGGGGACCAATATCGACTCCTATCGGGATACTGTTATCTAAAATCCCGATTCTAACTCCATTTTGTAACCTTTTGCTCTGAATGCATCAATTTGCGACAAGTATATTATGAGGTATTTTTGTAGGGCTTATGATAAAATTGCAACCAAGTGTGACGGCACGGAGGCTGTCACCAACTTCGATCCCAGCATCTATGAAGATGAGCTTAAATCTACTAGTAATTATAGTACTGAATAATACTGATGCCAATTTTGTATAATGTTTGTTTTTTCAAAGTGTTTCTGAATCAAATTTGATTGTTATATATCTGTTTCCCAGAGTCTCCTAGAAATGCTACACCGAACCATAACTTAGATTTGAGATTGGGTAGTTTGACCTCAAAACACAAAAAAGCCGAGAATTGGGAAATGAAATCCAAAATGTTGATCAGTCAGATCAGCATCATACTACCATACCATTTGAAGCAGATTGGCACAACCGGGCATTTAGGCCACAGGTACATAGAAACTGCTTAGTTTAATTTTGTCAATTTCTTTAATTGAACTTTTTATTCTAATAATATTAATAATTTCCATAACTTATATTAATGTGACCCAGCTCAATATTCAACAAGAACCATATAGAATTAATTCCCATAGAAGAGAAGGGTACAATGAGGCCGAGACAGTGCAACTTCTAAGCCAAACCCACATTCAATCTTCGAGTTCACTAAGACCCAGGCAATTCGTTAAGGAGAGTGAAAACTCAATGCTTCACATGTTTTCACCCTCATCAAACTGTCAAGTCTGTATTGAAACCCATTTCATGAGTTCGGTATAACTAGGTTAATTAATTAGATCGGCTAATAAATTGTTTTAATCGTGTGATTGTAGGTTTAGTATCCTAGCAGCAGCAGTAATGGAGGTCAAATTGGAGCCACCACCAGAGGCAATCACCTCTCCCTGTCAATGAACAACAATCAGTAAAGGTCGTTCATCAATCCTCTGCAATTGTTTGCAACTGCTGCAACATCATTAGGATTCCCACAGCAGATAACTACCCGACCCCAAAATTGGCTACACCAGAAAAATGGATTTTACTCTCTGAAGAGACCCTCTTGACCCAACTTTTTGTTTTTGGTTTTTTAAATCTTTATGTAACAAGGCCTTTCGAGTTTGTAAGCATGTAAAGATTAATGCTTTGAGCTTAAATTTCTTCTTTTCCAGTCTCAAAATAGTATGTCAAACCCAAGTCACGAGTATATAACTTGGATTCAATATCAGATGAGAAAAATTCAACGTTTGCATAATCAGGGTCTAGATATTCATGCGTTCTATTCTATACTTGTGATTCGTTTATGTGTTTCTAAAACCGTATATACGTATCATTATTTAGGCTGCCCTCTTATTTATTACTACATCAATAGTAGGTCCTTGTTCATATTTAAAAAAAGGAAGAAAAAAAAAAGGATATCACGTCGTCTCTCAAGCTAACGGTCAGTTTTTAAAAAACGATGTGACGGCGTTTTGAAAACGTCGCTAAAATCATAGTGACATCATAGTACCGTGAAGGTGGGACATTTAAAAACGCCGCCTATAGTAATATAACGACGTTTTTCAAATGCTATAAAGCTATAGCAATGGCCGCATTGTTGGCGTTTGGTACTAAACGTCACAAAAAGAATTAGTGACGTTTATTGTACCTATAGTAGCATTTTTTAAACGTCGCTAATTGTGGTTTTTCCAGCAGTGTTTTCTGTATCACTGCTATAATATCAGCTTTTGCATTCCACGATCACCACGATCACCTACAGAACTCGAATCGATCTTGATTGGAGGAATTGCTTCCGCGAGAAAGGTGTCTGTTTTTGGTTTATGAGTAGCTCAATTTTCTCTGGTTTGTTCAAAACACAGAAAATTATGAGCAAACTAGAGAAAATTGATCAAAATACAGAGAAATTTGTAAGCAAATCAGAGAAATTTCAAATCAGATAAATTTAAAAACACAGAGAAAATGAGCAAATCAGAGAAATTTCAAAACATAGAGAATTTTGTTTGAAATTTCTCTGTGTTTTGAAATTTCTATGAATCGAAATTTCTTTGGAAAATGTTGAGGGACCCAAACTACTATGAAAATATTACATGTTCTTTATCATATAAAATCTTAATATCAGGGATCTTAAAAAAAATTCTCCAAAAATATATAGAAAAAAATATTTGTCAAATAAAATCCATATAAAATAGGTAAAATTATTATAATTTAAATTATGTTTGAGTTTGTATAGAACTCTATATGTAATAAAGAAAATATAAACCCTTATAAAATGGAAAACACTATTTTATAAACTCCATATAAAATAAGTAAAATTAGTAAAATTTACATGAAGTTTGAGTTTGTATAAAACACTATTTTATAAATACCATATAAAATAGGTGAAATTACCAAAATGTACATGAAGTTTGAGTTTGTATAAAACTCTATAGGTAACAAAGAAATACTGTAATGCCCCTGAAAATATGATACAAATAAACCATTTATAAGATTTATGAACATAACAGAAATGTTGTACTTTTATTCATCAGAGTTTATATTACAAAAGATATTACATGTATTACACTTTCATAAATGTTCATCCTGAAACTACAGCATGTAACACTAGTTGATAACAACTAAATAAATGCCCTACGGGTTTACATCTTCCCACGATATCTCTTGGTTACAACAAAAGAGTCCTAAGCTCTATAAGTGTAAAGCCCTCGGCTTGAATAAACATTTAAACATAACATAACAAAAATAGAGTCTTCAGCCCCTAGTCCTCCTAAGCTATGTCCTTGGAGGTGGCATGTCACCAGTACATGAAAATGGTTTCCCAAGTAGGGTGAGCCAAATCCCAGTAGAGATATACTAACACAATATATGAGATTTAACTAAGATATAAGCATTAGATAAATGCTTAATACTTAAAACCAACTTACATTCTTTCCATGACCAATCAATATCGATAACCATACCTCAATCCATTTCTATTCATTCATTTCAAGTTAATCTATTAACCAAATCCATTATTATCTAATCAACCAAAATGAGATTACAACTCGGTGGTTCACAATTCAATACATTCATCACTCCAACACTTTTATTTTGCCATTTTACGGAATTCTCATCCAAGGGAATCGGCACCCGTATATACACAAAATGTTGGGACTTTCACCCTGGATACTCCAGCCCACTTAATTTTTAAATGGAGTCTATCCCCTATCTCCTCCCAAACAATAGAGTACATCCCCTTTCTCCTCCCAAACACTATTGGCGACCAAAGGCTTTTTTGGTCGCGGAAGATCACCTTTTGGCGACCAAAAAAAAAAGTTGGTCGTGGAAAGTATGCTATTGGCGACCAAAGGCTTTTTTGGTCGCGGAAGATCACCTTTTGGCGACGACCACAATTTTTTGGCATGGAAAGTATACCCTTTGGCGACCAAAAAAAAAAGTTGGTCGCGGAAAGTATACTATTGGCGACCAAAGGCTTTTTTGGTCGCGGAAGATTACCCTTTGGCGACAAAAAAAAAAAGTTGGTCGTGGAAAGTATGCTATTGGCGACCAAAAATTGGTCGCAGAAGATCACCTTTTGGGGACCAAAAAAAAAAGTTGGTCGCGGAAAGTATACTATTGGCGACCAGAGGCTTTTTTTGTCGCGGAAGATTACCCTTTGGCGACCAAAAAAAAAAGTTGGTCGCGGAAAGTTATGGCGGGATAAATTTAAAAAAAAATGATACTACAGTAATTACATGCTATTTTTCTATTTAGGCATTAAAAGTTTTAATAAATAATATATAACCCAATTTTTATGGGTTATATATTTTTTTTGCTAAATATGAACAAGAAGTATGTTATTGGCAGAGTGGCAGAGTGGATTGGGTGTATGGTGACTCCTTGGTCAGGAGTTCAAGTCCCAGGGAGCACAAAAGAATTATTTTTTTTGGGTTAAGGCGCTGACTTTTGGCGACCAACTTATCTTTGGTCGCTAAAAGTTTACTTTTGGCTAATATGAATTGGACTTTCCGCGACCAAAAAAGTTGGTCGTGAATGGTCACTTTTAGCGACCAAAGGCTTTTTTGGTCGCAGAAAACTATCTATGACGAGGCTTTAGCGACCAACTTGCGACCAACATATTTTGGTCGCGAAAAGGTTTTAGCGACCAAATATGGTACTTTTCGCGACAAAAATGTTGGTCACTGAAAGTGTTTTTTCTTGTAGTGCCAGTAGAGATATACTAACACAATATATGAGATTTAACTAAGATATAAGCATCAGATAAATGCTTAATACTTAAAACCAACTTACATTCTTTCCATGACCAATCAATATCGATAACCATACCTCAATCCATTTCTATTAACCAAATCCATTATTATCTAATCAACTAAAATGAGATTACAACTCCGTGGTTCACAATTCAATACATTCATCACTCCAACACTTTTATTTTGCCATTTTACGAAATTCTCATCCAAGGGAATCGGCACCCGTATATACACAAAATGTTGGGACTTTCACCCTGGATACTCCGGCCCACTTAATTTTTAAATGGAGTCCATCCTCTATCTCCTCCCAAACAATAGAGTACATCCCCTTTCTCCTCCCCAACAATTATACATAGACAATGTATTAAAAACATCGTCATATACAATGACTATCCACAACACATATTCAATGTTTCAATCATACCGTCATATTCAATGACATAATTTAAATGACAGGTTTTAATTCACCTAGTCCTCATGCAATTTCTACAACAATCATAGCTATCCTCCACCGATAGCCCAAAACAGATATTTCTAGACAAATAGAAAATCTCTACAACAAATAATTTGTCAAATTTTCCATAGGTGAGTGGTTTATCAAATCCAACTACACCATTTATTCATACAACCCCCCAATTTCATATTTCCCATATCAATTTCATTATTTACACAAAATAATATTTGACACAAATTAGGGCAATTTTCCTATTTTTCCAAATATCAACCCCAATGCCAAATTTCATCATTTTAACCCAAGTAACCTCATATTCAATATCCCATATATTTATTTATGGACCCATTATAGAAAACCCCTCTTTCAAATTTTAAGCTCAAACCCTAGTTTCACCCAAATCCTTCTACATTCCACCATTTATACAAAATGACCAATACCTAGGTTAAAAACCATATCAAGGTGTAGAAAATCCCTACCTTAAGTGGAGAAACTCAAAGGAGATGAAGAAGAACCTCAAAAGTGCCCAAACTCGATTTTGCTCGGATTAAGAGGAAGCCCACAAGGTGCTCTAGCTCTTTATCAAAGGGAGTAGGGTAGAGAGACCCTTAGATCATGGAGTATTTTTAGAGAGAGAGAGTGCCGGATTAGGGCTTTTAGGAGAAAGGAAATAAAAAAGTGATGTAAAATTGCTCTGCTACGAACTGATATACGCAACCCTTGCTCGAGCGAAGGAGTTGTCGCTCGAGCGACCAGACACAACAAGTGACCTCGCTCAAGCGCAAGAAGTGTCGCTCGAGCGTAGAATACATACCTTTAGGTATTCACAGACACACACCCTCGCTCGAGCACAAGAAGCCTCGCTCGAGCAAAGAACTTTATCTTCCCAGAAATGCTGCGTCTGGGAAGGAAACCTGAGAACTCTCAAACCTCACTTGAGCACAAGAAACCTCGCTCGAGCGAAGAAGCAAATTTCGCAAGGCTCGCTTGAGCGCAAGAGGCCTCGCTCAAGCGAAGAAGCCAAAATCTGGGCAACAACCATCTAGACCAACTAACAACCAACCTGTTCCAAACACGCCCAATATACTCCAAATCCCAAATTCAAGAGTTAAAGGAGGAAAACAAGGCATGGATACAATATTAAACTACGAAACCCGAGTCCGGAATACAATGAAGGTCGAGTCAAAACCGGGATCGCTATAAATACAAACCCTTATAAAATAGAAAACCCTATATATATATATATATATAAATATATATAACAACCTAATTTTCCTGTCTTTTTTACCATGGCTGATGGATATATATATATATATATATATATATATGATTGAAACAACCTAACCTACGTACTTACTAGTAGTCTTCACAAATATGATACATATATATATATATATATATATGATTGAAACAACCTAACCTATGTACATACCAGTAGTTTTCACAAATACGAATCACCGCGTCTAGGAACTCACTGCTCTGTTTTATTTTTGGGTAAATCAATTAATGTGAATGGGTATGGCAGCAATGGAGGCCTGAAAGAAGAAGTTGGAAGTC